AAAAAAAAAAAGGTGTATTCTCTACTTAATAACCATACATAGTAAATTTAGTAACCTGCTCAATCCGAGCTTTTTTTTTTTTTTTTTTTTTTGCAACCCTTAATCCCAAAACAAAGCAAAACAACAACAAAACTATTTCATTTCACAAGAAGCTTGAATCTGGGCAGAGGCTTCCCTTTTCCCAGCCTCCATTCCCTTTCTCAGTCCTCTTGCTCCTCTCTCAGCAGCAGTTGCGTTCCGTGCGGTTTCATGGTAATAAAGTGACTTGGATGGACACAGCCTGGAGGTGTTATTCACAAAACCTGTGAAAGTGTAATGATTCCCCTCACCTGCCTGTCACTACGAAAGCAGCAGGCTTGGCGCTCTTTCTCCACGCCTTTCAATGAAAACAAACCCACCTCTTTCCGCAAGTAGCCTGGTTCACCCCCGCCCGCACCCCAACTGTCGCACCAGGCCACGTCCCCCGGCATATGCTCCTAAATCTGGCCTTTTCTGCCCAATAATACACTCAGATTCCGGACTGCCTCCCACTCTTCTTAAATCTTCCCCCGCGCCCAGAGCCCCCTTTCAATCCCTTTCTCCTCCCATCACCCCCAAACGCCCCTACAGGTCGTCCCCTAGGTCGTTCTTCCTCTACATACCCCAATCAGACCCTCAAGCTTCTCCCACTCGGGGGCCACTTACAGCCACCCCCTCCACCAATGCCCCAGCCGGACGCGGACGTTAGGGGAGGCGAAGCGGGGGCGTCACCTCCGTTTCCTTTCTAGGATTCCCAATGCCAGCCACTCTCTCAGGAACCAGGCCGGCGCCAGTACCTGAGACTCCCGGGGAGTTCCCGGCAGCGCTCCGGGGTGGCGGCGCTGGGCGGGCGGGGGAAGGAGCCAGCAGCCGCGGAAGAAGGCGGGGAGGGGAGCCAGTGGGCGCGGACTCGGCGTCAGCCGCTCCGCCGCTGCAGCGCCCCCGCTCATCCAGTCGATCGGCACTCCACGGCCTGAAAGCAGGCGGAGGGGGCGGGTCCAAGCTGCAGATCGTCGAGAGAGTCGATTTCGTCCTCAGCTCTCCTCCTAGAGGTCCCTCTGGCGGAGGCGGAGTTTGGGACTGGATCCCCAGGATCCAATTGGACTTTGAGGGAGAAAACCTCTTCTGGTTCTCGAGGTCCCGGCTGCCACCGGGCGTGCGTAGAGAACAGTACACTAGAGGAGGGGGAGGAGGAGGGGGAGGAAGCATTGAAAAGCCTGCTGGGTGGTTAGGGCTCAGGAGGCGTTAGGAAGTTGGTGCTTTCTACTCGGTGCATCTCCCAGGCTAGTAGCCAAATAGATTCAGGAGGATGTCTCGAAATCCTAGGACCGACTTCGGGTCGTCCGGGTCTTTTGGAAGAAAGAGATATGTGTGACACTTCGTTTATACAATCTGAGTTAGATTTAGAGGGAAATACTGGGGACTACTAATTGTTTTGTCCCGATTTCTGTGACCGGCCATAAGGAAAAAAGACGGGAGGCAGAAAGGCTGAACAAGTGTTGTTTATAGCTCTCCGGCAGCAGCTGAGGCGGCTAGGGTGGGTCCGCAGCTACTGCAAGTGTTGTAGGGGGAATGGTCTCTCCTACAGGCTTTTGGTTCCTTTTTTATTTAATGGCGCTTTACACCTGAATGCAAGGACCGGTTCTGGTTATTGTTGTATTGATGGTGGTGCTTTACACCTGAATACAAGGCCGGGTTCCGGTATTGCCTATCTGGTCACACTCAACACTAATCTAGTTTCCTCAATTTGGACTATAGGAATCTTCTATCCAAACAGTTTGTTTGAGGTTGCACAGCCTGGACAGATTTGGGGACAAGGATTCACTCATCTTACCTGTTCCCCCTTCTACTCCTCCCCCTATCTTCTAACATGAAACAGCGGGGTTCAGATATCGGCACCTTCAGGTTTCATCTGAGGTAAATCACATTTGCAGGACCCCCAGCACTGGTGTCGCGAATACTTCTACCTTATTAATTAGCGGCATATTTAAACCTCCAGGACTTCAGGAACTGGGCATACTTACCCAAAATAATTCCAGTTTGGCTTTTGCTTTCCTCTTTTATTTGCTTACCTACTTGTCTCCCACACATACTGAGTTGTTTTACTGAGACCCCACGTTGTTCAAAGATTAACTGTATTTCATCTTGTCCTACAGGTTGTGAAATGATTCTGAGAGTATTGGTAAATTCTAAGCAAAGAACAGAACAGACAACTACTTCTGCATATATACACACATATATGTATGCATGTATGTATATGTATATTCAGACATGAAAGCTCCTATTGTAAGCAAGATCGTCTTCCTGACAAGTCAGGTGTTTTGCTTACTAGTGCGTGAATACTTCTACTTTGCTCAGAGCCCTTGCACTATTCCTAAGAATCTCAGCGTTGGATTGAAGTTTAAAGGTCATGTGCTGCAAACAACGTGTTCTGCCCTAAAGATAAAGGTCAGGGTTTTACTTTTTATCAGGCCCTGTGTCATCAACACATCACAACACCCGATTCTCATTGCAGTTGTTCTCAATGAACAGTTTAGATTTGCTTGTTCATATAAAAAAATTTTTTTAAAACCTTGGACATCTATTGTATATCTGTTACGAAGTTGTGTAGCTAAAATATAGACACAGTCGTTGACTTTATATTTTATAGTTGTGCAGGAAAGAGAAACAAAAATAATCAAATTACAAATTGTGATGTGATTTGCAAAGAACAAACAAGTGATGTGGCTGAGATTCAAGAGGGCGCTGTTTTACAATATAGGGTTCTCAGAAAGAGCTGGGGATAGGCCAGCACTACAGAAAAGAGTTCTCTAAACAGAACAGTAAAGGCTCTAGATAGGAAAGTTTGGCATTAAAAAAGTTTTTTAAATTGTGGTAAAAACCAACATTTGCCATATTAGGCATTCCTTAAGTATAAAAATGAGTAGCATTACAATACTTACATTGTTATACAATTGGCCTCTAGGATTTTTACTGAAGCACTGTACCTTGAACATGAAGTCCTCATTTCCTTCTTTTCCCAACCCCTTGAAACAACTCTGTTTCCACGAATTTGACTATTTCAGATAATTCCTACAAATGGAATCATACACGCCCTTATTGTGACTGGTTTGTTTCACTTAACATGATATCCTCAAGGTTCATCCATGTTGTAGCAAGTAACAGGATTTCCTTCTTTAAAGGTAAAGAATATTCCAGCAAATGTGTATATCATATTTTTCTTTACCCATACATCAATTAATGAACATTGGGGTTGCACCACCTCTTTTATTACGTAAGGACTATTTCAATGGGAAAATCTGCTATTATGTATTTTTTAAAAGATCATGTGTCTATGTGGTACATATCGAATGGTGGACAAGAGACCTAAAAGATACCAAAGTAAAATGTCTCTGGTTTATTTTAAAATTTATTTTCTTACATCATTGTTCAATTTTGTACAATACTTTGTTCAGTTTTCCTATATTCCTCCTGTAAATGAGACCATCCAGTATTTTCCTTATCTTTTTTACTTATTTTGCTTAGTATAATCCCTTTCAACTCCATCCATGTTGCTGCAAATGGCATTTTTTTTTTTGATCACTGAGCTGTATTCCACTGTGTATATTAACCACATCTTCCCCAAAGCAAAATGTCTGACCAAATTTATACCTTGAAAAATGGATAAATCTTTCTGATTCTAAATCCATGTTCTTAACTTCTGTGCTATATCATTTCCTATTAAAAAACAGGGTTTAATTTTAGCCAAACATTTACTTTCTTGCCATCGATCTCCAGAAATACTGACATTAATTACTCTGTTGAATTCTCTGCTGCTTGAATGAAATTTCCACATACTGGACCATTTTTATTTTGTATCTCAGCAATGACCAAAAAGATACACTGTTCAAAGATAAGATAGGTAAAGAAATGTTAAAATGTGTTATCACCATATTTTTAGATTTTTCTGTTTTTAATGTTTATTTAGTAAAAGACCTGGGATATAGACTAGAGGTCAGGTTGGGGAAGTGAGAGGATTCACCAGAGGCAGGGGGATCTACTAAAATAGACTGTTGAAGGCAGCAGCAGGAAAGCCAGGAGGTCTGCTGCCTCCTGTGTGTGAGCTCCCTGGCGGGGGATGGAACTCAGGCCTTAGCAGAGATAACCCTGACACTTTACCTTTAGGACACTAGCGAGGTCCTTGAGATTTTTTTCTAAGGAAAAGAGCTTTCTTGCATTGTCATAACAAAGTGTTTTAATTTTAGAAGATCACATGTAACTTTTTGTTGGACTGATGGGAATTTTGTTCTGGTTTTTTTGAAGGTCTGGATCTAAGTGGGTTTTTTTTTTTTAAATACCTTGGGTGGAGCACTTTAGTGGATTTTATTTGTTAAATAATGTTTTTAGAGATTTTTCTTTGGTGATGGAAAACAGCCTTTTCTTTGGTGATGGAAACATTTTTTGTTATGAGCTGAGGACAGAGAGCATCCAGAAAATGTGATCCATGAGAGAGATGCTGACTGTGAGACTTTAGGAGAAAAACAACTTGTTTTCCAGTTTTTTCTTTCCCTGCAAAGGAACTGAAGCTTATAATAAGTCATGGAGAAAACATTGTCATAGTTTAGCCATGTAATCAGGGTCTAGGCTGAAAAAAAAAAAAAAAAAAAAAAGAAAGGGTCCAAAAATTTGCTTTTTTGTGAGCCTCCTCTGTGGGGTCCCAGGCACCAGGCACAGCCCACTGTCCTTGGCACAATTCGCTCATTGCTTCTGAATTTTAGTATTCAAAATGCTATTGCCCACTGGCACCAGAGACAAAAACTTCCTATGTTTGTTATGCTCATTTTTTTCTTCCCATAAAGATGAATACAAATAAAAATCTTGTGGTTCATGTGCATCAGAAAACCAGTGTGCTTTCAGGTGTCTGCAGTGAAAGTACAAACTATGGCACAAAGAAAACCCTGGGAATTATAAATATCCAGAGGTGGACACTCCATGGTGGCATAATGGGTTAAAGCACAGCACTATGAGGCTATCACAGCATGAGTACCATCCCTGGCCAAGGGGGTGACCCACATGCTGTAGCAGAACTCTCCTGACTCACCTGCCTCTCCTTTCAAAAGTGTATTTCAGTACATCTGCTTGTTCTGCTCCCCACTCTGTCTCTGGTGCATCCTCTCAACTCCCCCCTCCCCAACCTCTGGTCTATACCCCAGTTCTTGTATGCATAAATAAATAAATCTTAAAAAAAATATCCAGAGGTAGGAATGGCTGGATTTGTAAATAAATAGCCTCTTTATTTTTTTCAACTAATGAGACCTTTGCCTTAATTATGTGTGCATCTTGCTTATTCAAAATAATGTATGAGATCTTTTTTTATTAGAGATAAGCAGAAAAAAAGGTCATATCGCCTTTCATATGAGAGAATGGCTATTATCCAACAGACAGGAACTGAGTGTTAGAAAGGATTTGGAGAAAAGGAAACCCTTGTACATTGTTGGTGGAAAAGTAAATTGGTACAACCATTTTAGGAAGCAGTATGGAGTTTCCTCAAAAGATTAAAAATAGCAATCTAAATGATCCAGTTATCCGACCTCTGGGTATTTACCCCAAAAAATGCAGAAAGCCTCATTTGAAGAAATATTTGTACCCCCATGTTTACTGCAGTATTTACAACAGCCAAAAATTGGAAGTAACTTAAGTAGTACCCAATGACAGGTGATGATATAAAGAAGACATGGCACATATATTACACATAACATGATTATTATTCAACTGTTAACCAAAAAGGGAAAAAAAACAGCAACATAAAGAATGAAATACCATCATTGGCAATAATGTGGATGGGTCTAGAGACTTGTGTTTCATGAAGTAAGTTAGATGGAAAAAAGATAAAACATTGTTATGATTTCACTCATATGTGGTATATAGAAAATCCAGATGAATGAAACAAAACAAAAACAAATTATTATAAAACCAT